TTTGCCCCCAGCCATGGCCTTTGCACACAACATAAGATCCACATGGAGACCTCAAAGGGGCTCAAAGGTTTGTCTCAGCACCCATCCACAGGCAGAGAGAGCCCCCTGGCCAGCACAGCACCCTTGGGTGCAGGAGGTTCAGCTCAGGTCAGGGTCCAGCCCAGCTACCCACGAGCCTGGAGAAGGACATCAGGCACCAGGAACCCCCCAAGCTCCCCCAGCAGCAGCAGGGACACCCTGAACCGCCGCAGGAGCAGGCTTTGGGCCTTCCTCCACCGCAGCCTTGCATCCCCTGGGCCTGCTGACAGCAGCCACCACTCCTTGCCGAGAGTGATCCATGGTGGCCATGAGCAAGAAGAGGGTGCCCACCCTCCCGGCCGGAGTAGCACAGGGTCCTGGACTAGTATTGCAAGGTAGGGGTCAGCAGCCGGCTCCTGGGACCAACAAAACCTCTCCCGGGGCACATTCGGATGCTGACACAGGTGCGGGAAGCACAGGCAGAGAAGGCAGCAAAGCATCAAGAGTCCAGCCTGGCTCCCTGCCCGTCCGGTTACTCATGGCTGCAACAAAACAACTCCAGAGGGACCGGCCAGCCACCACCCCGGGATGTGGCAGCAGTTTCCTCTCCATAAATACAGAGACTTTCTCACAGGTGCTGAACACTTGCAGCCCAGAACAGAGTGGCATCAGGAGCTCAGGGACAGAAAGAGGACAGCAAACTTCACTTGGGGACTTCTCCAGCCACCCCAGGTCCTACGCAGGTGGCTGCAGGCTCCTTGAGGGGCCAAGCAGTGTGCAATGACTGGGAACCAGCAGGCACACTGTTCTGACCGCCGAGGGAAAAACAGGAGAAAGCTGTCACTGATGGGCATGGCAGGCCCTGGGGGAGGGCAGGGGCCGGCCAGCAGCCACCCATCACACAGGCAACGAAGAGACACGCCACATCCATCAGTGCCGCAGCCGTCAGAGCTCATATGCTCGGCAGCTGCAGAGGGCCCTGGGAAGGCTGGTGAGCCTGCGCGGCTGCAGCTGCCCCGTGATGGGGATGAAAGCCAGCTGAGGAGCAGGCATGTGTGAGGACAGCCAGCTTCCAGCACTGTCACCATCGTGTCCACTGCTGCTCAGGTGCAGGCAGGCAGAGAATGGCAGCGTCTGGCTAAAAACCCACCTGGGGCTCTCAGTGTTCAGGGGGCTGACGTTCTGCACCGAGCCCTGCGCCACCCTCCTCTCCCAGGACAAGACGGGCAGTCTTCAGGGCAGATTCACTCCTCTTTCACTACGGCCATCCTTGGTGCTGTCCCACGGTCCCTCTCAGGCAGCGGGCACTGCCTGCCCCACCCCACGCCCCCAGCACACTGCTTAAAGCACCAACCACCCATCAAACACACAGCGAGGGTCAGACTCGGGGTACCGCTCCCCCATCTGCCATGCAGCTCAGCCTAGCACCCCTCTCTGAAGACACTGATGGCATCAAAACCAGCAGCAAAACAGTTCGCACATCTCTCACCCAGCTTGCGCCAACTCTGCCACGCACCCTTCCCGTCCACCAAGGCACAGACCAGCCAGCAGCACAGAGCAACGGCACCCCTGTGGCACACAGAACTGCCAGGAACACAGAGATCTGTGAAGAAAATCCTAGACAGCTGAGCCAAACATCCACACGAGGTGGTGCTTGGGCAGGCCAAACTCTTGTTTTACTACAGAGCACTGAGGATGTGCACTAAACTGGTAGAGCAAGAGCTGCACTGGTTTCCACTGGGAGCCCAGACAGCAACAGTTCAGACACCCAAGTCCCTGCAGGAGATCTTCTTGTACCCCACAAGACTGTGAACATCCACCCAAACCTCTTCTCAGGGAAGGTCTCTCTGGCACCAGGGAAGAAGGTTCCCATCAGACACCTCGTTTCCACTCAGAGCGAAGGTCCCTTTTTGGGAAGGGCTTTTCCCCTTCTGCTTTTTGCCCCCCTCCTCACTCCGAGACCTGCCTGAAGTGCAGCACAAGAGGGGGATGCCCCACTCGGGGCTGGCTCTGCGTTCACTGCTCCCGGAGGTGAGGAGGGTTAGAGGCCCGTGAGATCAACGATGGCTTTAATAAAGATGGCATCATCACGCACGTAGGAGTTCTTGGTTTCCATCACCGAGACGGGGCAGAACAGCGGGCAGCCGCTGGCAATGTTCATTTCCGTAATGGGTCGCTGGAACGAGGAGGATGTCACGTCGGGTCGGAAGGCATCGATGATGTGTTCCCGGTTGTTCTGATCCAGAAGCATCAGGGTTACCTGTGGGGAAATGTGAAAAATATACAAGAGCAGCTGAATAAAAAGCACGTAGAAACCCAACCCAGTGACTGCTCACTTGAAGCCTGTGAAATGTGCAAGTACCAATGCAACCATAGCCACATCACGTGCCTACAAATCTGAGAAATGCCTAAGCAGGGTCAGCGGAGAACACCATCTCAGTGACATTCTGCAGAAACCATCCCACATCCTGCTCTGTCACTGGAAACTTCTGTGCGGTACCACAGGGCTGTCAGACTGACTCTGAAAACCTACAACAGGCCGGCGTGGAGTTCACTCCCAACACCAATAACCCACATAGGTATTTCATTAAGTCGCAGAGTTGCTGTCCCCCCGTGAAAGAAGGCAGCCCCTCTCTCTGCATCAGTACTTCGTCCACTCAGCCCTGCAATGTCATTGCAAACCTGCAATGTCTAGGAACTGCAGTCTGAGCTTTTGACACCAAGTAAGCATCAGCTGCACCCCAAGCACTGAGACCACGACAACCTTCCCTTGTCCTGAATTCATGCAGGGGCTCCGCTCACTTTCCAAACACGCTGCTGCTCTCTTTCTGCAGCCTTGGCTGTTTTGTATTCCTGCCCTGTAGCACACTCGGTGCTTTCAGCACGACTGGGGAATCCCCAGGGCGGACGACGTATCAAAGGCCTTCCTTCTTCTTCTGCTTGCTAAGTAGGCCAGACCAACAACATCTAGAAGCTCAAGTGGGTGCAAAACTAGAGAGGCACATTGCTAGGCACGTTGTTTGTCCCAAACCCACCTTCTGGTTGAAGGGCCACCGCAGCAGTGCGTCGTTGGGTCCTTTCATCACCACAAAGAACAGAGACAGGTGGGTCCCACGCCCGGTGCCATCCCCATTCAGATAAACGCGCAGACACATCTTGTAGCCATACTTGCTCGTGTAGAAAGCTATCAAAGAGTCGCAAAATGGACACAGTGAGCATCAAACCCAGCAAAAGTACCAACAGGTTCCTTTGAACTCTGAGGACTCTAAAGTTTGGATCCTGGAAGAAGCCAGGTTTGGGTCTTAAAATACTCGCACCATCAAGGTGTTCTGGAAAGCCACTGGGTACAAACAACACTCAGATGCCATCTTAGACTGGCTGGGAGACAGCCCAAGGTCAGGCAGTCAGAGGCCCCTGGTTCAGCCAAGAGGCACAGAGCAGGGTCCCTGCCACCCCTCGGGCTCTCCGTCCGTCCGCCCACCCCCCCCAGCCCCAGGCACAAGCACCCCAGGCAGAGCCCAAAACTGGAGCTCTGCCCAGGAGCTGGGTGCTTCCCACTGCATCCCCCCACAGACCCACCAGTTGCGCCACATGTGAACGCTAAAGGAGTTGCAGTTCATGGCAATAACGCTGACGAGAAGGAACAAAACCACCCCCCAAAAAAACCCTGACTGAGTACTCACTGCACCCTCTTTCTAAGCTGGCTGCCTCTGATGGGGGCACAAGTTCAAGCAAGGGAGCTCTGCTCTCCCCTTAGGATGCCAGCCGCTCGGCAAAGCTGCATAACAGGCTCTCTCCTTCTCCAGCAATTCTGGGAATGCCCATGTTGCAATACCAGACCCATGTAGGGGCACAGAAACACCTCAGAAGGGGACCTGCGACAAACTGCCCTCTCACAGTGGCATAGAGCTATGTGCCTCAGGTCCGGCAAGGCCCAGCAGCCTCAGGGTACTGGGCAGGAGATCGGAGACAGTATTTTACTCCGGGACTCTGTGTGCTTTTATGAACAGGCAGACTAGCGCTAGCAGAGATACTGTGCACTTCCACAGGGTGAGAAGCAAGAGATCAGGGCTCTGTCACCACTTCCCTCCTGGCACTCCCCAACTTGTTTCCTCTAGTGCTTCCTCTCCACCTGCTTTACCCAAAGGCTTTCAGGTCTCTGCTAGCCCAAGCAGCACATCCTCACTGCCCACCTGGGGCTTCTCAGCACTCCTGTAACCCTGTGAATGTAAAACCAGGTGGGGAAGGAGGAAGGATGGCCCCAGAGCACTGAGAGTACCCAGGAAAAGGAACCAGGCAGCCAAGAGTGCTAAACACCTTGTGCACCACGCTGCCAGCTCAAAGCAGTGAACCAGGCATCCTCCTTCTCACCGGCCCGGGGAAAGGCAAAGCGCATCAGAAGAGAAGCAAGAGCCCAGAGAGCTGCTCCCTGGCATCTGACAGCCAGCAGCGGGTGGGTTGCCAGCAGGAGCTTTGCTTCAGACTGTCCCAGTTCATGTCCCTGAAGAACCTTTCTTGTGTGGATTTGCCTTTTTGAACTCTTATGATTTTGCCCTTTGCAAAATCCTGTGGCAATCGTTGTGTCCTCATAATGCAGGTGAGTGGTAACGCTACTTTTTTAAAACAAAGGTTTGTTTTAACACTGATTTCACTTGGTATTTCCTCGCCTTTACAAAACAATTATACTCACTTCCCTTTTTCATCCCATTCGTGACTTAGACCTCTCCCCTCCCAGCTGTCTCCTTCCCAGACTGAACAGCACTAGTCTATTTGCTTTACTTTCTAAGATAAAAAAAAACAACACCACCTCCACAAGAAACATTTCATTCTCAGCCTTATTTTCTCAGCTAAGGCAGCATCAGGAACGAGGATCTCTCATCTAAATGACATAAGCAAATTCTGTAGGAAACAAGTCTTTGTACTTTGCACTTGCAAGACAAAAAAACCTTCAAAAGTCCTGCCTTTTCCAGCAGCAGTCCCAGTGTTCGGCAGAGACAGCCTTCACCTTCCAATCCCTCTAGCTAAGATTTTCACAAGCCGATTGCAGAGACCAACCAGCAACACAAAACACAGTCTGGTGGCCCGCAAAGTAGTTTTTCCTTTGATGAAACATTTTATAAAAGCCCCTGAGCCCTAATTTTCCTGGCCTTCCACCACTGCTAGGGGACCAGACAGCAAGCAGCGTGCAGGAGGAAGCACAAGTAACCAAGAGCTATGGTTCTGGGAGGAACTGTGCGTTCAGAGCACAGCCGATCAAATGTCTGGACATACAAAGCCTCTTGCATTCAGAGAGGTTTCACCCCTTTCCCTCCCTTGCACTGATTCTGATATATCCCTCCAACAGCTGACTTGATTCTCCAACCTAGAAAACCACCTTTTTTTTGCCCCAGGTGGCATCAGCTCATGGAGGGATCTGAGGAGCCCCCAAGCTGGGGCACAGTGAGCCAGGATGCCTGTGGCCAGAGGACAACAGTCAGCTCTGTCCAGCATCTCTCTCCAAACCACAGCCTCTGGAGATGTTCAGGTCAAGCAGCTCTTGAGCACGGTGCAGGAGATGGACAGGATGCAAGAATTAAGGTCCTCTTTCTAAGTCAAACACAACAGATTTGAAGTAGATTTGTTGGCTTTTGGAAAAGGAAGGAAGTGCTGCCCTTCCCAAAGGGGACGGAGAGTAGGGGTTTTCCACTGCTGTTGTTGACTTTTAAAAGGAAATGCTAATTGAATGTGCAGAGTTTCAGTAGAAGTTTAGTTCCCCTCAAGAAGGGGAATCTTTTTTTCTTTTCAAGAGAAAAAGGACTCTGAACAGCCTTCAGCCAGAAAATAGATTTTAAAGTAGTTTTAAAAATTCAATTGCTTTTATCTTGTGGCCCAGCCACAGTCTGCTTTTTCACAGCACCAGGAAGCAGATGTAAGGTACGTGCTCTAGGTTTCCATGCAGCTCTGGGCATTCTGAAAAAAACTCTCCAGCACACTTAGATCTAAGTGATTCCTGCCTAGGCAAACACAAACTCCCCTCCTCAACCTTTTGTTGCAAGGGGATCTCCCCACCGAGCAATGAAATTGTGTGAAGCGATGGTTTCATCTTACAGCTGCAAGCCTGGAAAGTGCTTTCATCAGCAAACAAGCTGGATCACAACCTACTGGCTCACTGTCCGAGATTTTCTTTTTTAAGAACAGGAGGAACAATGCTGGGCTGGGGCAGTTCTGCGAGGATATCCTCTAACAGATATTCAAGCATTTCCTTAAGGTATGGTTTGGGCTTTATTTAGACATTGTCTCTTGCACCATCGTGCCTTAGGCACTAAAATATATTTCTGGGACTCTAATATATATTTCCTCCCTTCCTTAACCATTTTATTGCTGGTTTTATGGTCTCCGAGTATTTTAATTCTAACTAAAGGGTTATGCAGGGCTATTGCAGAGATAAGAGGGTTGCATTCTTCTTAATTTCTCATAGTAGAGGTCATCTGCAATCAAAAAAGCACCTCTTTCATCAGCAGTTAGCCCAATGCTAAAAAAAAAAAAAGTGGTTCAGGCTCCACAGGGAAAGGGGGACAGAACAGAAGTACATCTGAATGGCAAGCATCTCTCCTGCTAAAGACACCACAACAAATCCCACACCCAGCTGAGACACAAAAGGCTTTTGCAAATTTGGGGGCAATAACCTGGAGAGAAGATTGCAGGAGAGCGGCCCGTTATTGCCTCCTGACGCTTCCTGGCAAATTCTGTTATCTTCCAGATGAAAACACCATCGTAGGTGGAAGCTTCCATGTTGCGGATCTTTTCTTCCATCTCAGCCATGGCCAGATCTTTGAGCCCAATGCTTCTTTCCAGCTGCCGGACCTGCTCAGTGGGATACACGGTGCAGCCTGGTTAGAAACACGTACTGCTGTGAGACCCAAGAAAACCAGTAGACACCAGTATCCCCTTCAGGACGACTCTTTAGTGAGAGAAGTTCTTCAGAAATGACAGGGATCATGGGAGGGAGAAATTTAGCATCGTAAGCCAATTCATTGAAGCTTTCTTTTGAACTTGTCATTCTGGAGAAATTACATTGATACAACTCAGTGCTTGAGCTGGAAACTTTCCCACAGTGAATGGAAAAATCCTCCCAACGAGCAGCTCCATTATGTTAGCAGCACAAGAAGTGTGCTGCTAACTCAGCAGGGGGAAAAAAAACCCCAACAACTCAACATTGTGACAAAACTCAATTGAGAAAGAGAACCTACGCCCAGCCAACAAAGGTCTCCAGAGGGTTAATCACTGCTAGCTAACATAGGGTCATGCCAATTTTGGCAGCTCCCTTGCCAAAAGCGCACAGGCACGCTGCAAATTGCACAACTCCCAGCTGCCAAGACACGCTGGCAGGGCTCAGCAGGGAATGTGCTGGAGCATAGTGGTGAGGGGCAGCTTCTTCACACCTCCAGATTGTGCGTGGCATAACGCTGTAGCATAGCATCGATGATTACACTCTTTTTGAAAAGTCTGGAAGGTGAACAACCCCACGGACTCAGAGAGATCCCGTGAAATGCTAGGTGCTCTGTCTCTCGTTGGAAAACTTCACCTAAGAACAACATCTTGGTGTCTGCATAACTTGATTACTAACAGATGTCAGTTTAATTCCCATCTTTTCCAGGAAGCTTTTGAGAGTTGGGCACAGGCACAAATGATATTTTAGTTCTGCCTTCAGAGTTGTGGAATTTCAGGGCTAGGTGGTGAGGCTTTGCTAGCTAGTAACATGGAAAAGAAACTGAAAAAAGTCTCTGCTCAGAGTGCTGAAAAGCCCAAGCCAGTGGTTACACACCTTGTTACTCAGTGTTTCAATTTTCTCCTGATCTAGTCGATGTTGCCGACTGTAGGCTTCGGCTGTTAGAGACACTCTTTTCAACTCACGATTGCGCACACAGACAATGTTCTCAAAGGTCACCGTTTTCCTCTCAAGGGCCTCACATCTTTCCAAGAGCTCCAGGGACCTGGAAAGCTCCGACTCCGAGCACAGAGAGTTTGCTGCCAGTAGCGGGGAGTTGTTTTGCGATGAGGAAAGGGTAGGAAGGGGCTTTAGGTCTCCAGACCCAGCCTTGAGGCTGAGCACAAAACTCAGTAGCATGTAGAGATGCTCCGTCAAACATTTGCTTTCATGTTCTAGTAGCTTTTCATTTTCCACCTACATGAAGAGAAATACATCCCTCATTCAGCAAGCTCAATCTACACTGTCACCATCCACAGAACAAATTCCTCCTCTTGAGGTCACAACGTTAGCTTTAAATTATAAAGTGGAAAAAACAAAGATAGATAGTTAAAAACCCTGTTTTGGGGGTAGGGGGGTGGTTTTGTTTTAGAAATACTGCAAATCATGTACAACGATGGATGCTTAACGTTTCCCCAGCTGTACACACTGTTCTAGTCTGTCTTCCTCCATTAGTTCCCAACAAGGCTCTGTCAGATCTACTTAACAGCGCCAAAGGACAAAGCCTCACATAACCCTCCTTGAGGAGCTATTTAGATGAACATCACCAGCAGGAGCTGGGAAAACTAAGTCACATGGAGAAATATGGCCTGGCCCCAGTTCTGTGCTTACAGCTGAAAGCAGCATAAGCACCAGAGTCTCAAAGCACTCAGGGTGTTCCTCAAGGAGGAGGTTTCCTTCCACGTTAAGTTCATTCTCTGGATACCCAAATTCTGGATAGTGGATGACATGAAGCTCCATTTGCAAAGAGTTTGAAACACCACTTTTTTCAAATATCTGAAGGCAAACATCTGTAACAGTTTGGGCAACAGCAGTTTGCAGGTTAAGTCTAATACTGGAACCAAAACCAAGTCTCAAGATAAACATCAATAGACGAGCCCTTACCACCTCAGCACATCCGACAACCTCAAATCTGCAAGGCACTTTAGATCTGCCACAACTCTTCACATGGTCCCGAAACTAGAAAGGAAGGCAGGTAATGTTAGATCTTATGTGTCCCCAGTAGCTCCCTTTCCATCTCGCTGACAGCTAGGAAATGGAGGACGATCTCAAGAATGCCCAAACCATCGTTAATCACTAGCTGCCAAAGTGCACGATTAAACCTGGACACTGCCTACCATGACTTCCACTGTAACACAAATATAGCACTGACACCTGGAAGGAAGTTTTATTTCTCTTTCTCTTGGTGACTAGGAGGTCTCACTTCTCACCTGCATATGCAAGAAAGAAAAAGCAACCAGCACAGGTACATGCAATGGATGCTGAGCAACAAGCTTCACTGAGGGCAGAGGAAGGGGAGGCATAAGGAACAACCCTATGAAACAGAGAGATATTTAATTTTGTGCACTTCACGTAACCCTGGTTGGGATGTGCCATGGCTCGGTATTTTTGCTTTCAGCTAAGCATTATAAATCCGAGAACAAAAAGCTTTCCAGTGGTCCTGCCTGAGTATTTATAGCAATGACTGCAGGTCCACCTGCGTGAGGGAAGGGAAGATGCTCTCTTGGGTCCAGCATCCCCTCCCTGGGCTGCCGAAGGATGCCACACCTTCGCCCCCTCGTCTGGCAGCTGCCGGGAAGAACTGAGGCCAATGGCGGATATTTCTCCAGAGAAGTGCCACTAATCCCCCAGCCGCCAAGATGACTCGTTTGGGTTCCCACACAGTGCATGATTAATGCTAACCAGCACTGGCACATTATTATCTTGTTTTTGATATACCTCTCATCATCAGACATCAGTAGTTTCCTCTGAACAACAACCATATTCCACATTTAACACCTACATCTGCTACAACAGATGTCAATTAAAACTGTTTTTAAACCACTTTTTTAAAAAAAGCTTCTAGATCCATCTGGCTTGCTTAATGAGTCAAGTTACTCAGAGTTACAATGGCTGCAGCTAATCAACAAAAGTTTGGAGAGAGATAAAAAGAGGTAGTTAATATTTAAACAAATGATAAATCACCTATGGAAATCCTACAAGCCTAGTCTCTGCTGGGCTCCAGCTTCAGCCTGCAGATGAGCAGATTTGTAGCCCAAAACCCCAGTACGAAGTCCTTCATTACGCTGCCCATTTAGAAGAACTCTTTGCTCATCTTTTTGATGCTCCTGTCCTCCCCGACGCCCTACTACAAGGGCCTTTTGCAACAGTGCTACTCAAAATGTTTGCTCAGAGCAGGCAGGATGGTTTCAGATGAATGTGCTTTTTGAAGATGTTTCCCGAAACTTTGATTTTCAGACTCTTGAGCCTTGCCACCAGAGCCAGCAGCACAGAGACCCTAGAGACATGGATTTCATTACATGCTTAACTAGAAATAATTTAACTGGAGATGGGCTCCCTTTCCATAGCTGCAGCAGTGGTTGATACAGTTGCTTTACATAGGACATAAGTACCCTTTAAAGCCATGAGCGTGCTTTTCCCATGGAGGTTCTGCACCCAAACATGGCAAACACACCGCTTGAAGGGAGCTGGCGTTGGCAGCACTAATGCAAATCTATATGTGTCGATGAGTCACATTCGCTCGCACCCGACCAGTATTTTGAGCCTTATGGAAAGGTCACATCTGTACTAACGGCTGCCACTTAATTGTTTTCCCCAGTCCACTTTCTAACGGTCTTCGTTTTCCTCCCTGCTCCAAGAACACCGGTGTTGGCCCATCAGGATGCCACACACCATCGTGACACACGGTTCACCGGCAGTCGGATGGATACCTTCTCCCTTGGAATCTTCTTCCCACAGCCTTCGCAAGTCAGCGGAAATTCCGGGCAGACTTCATCATGAGCCTGTAAAAGAATCCACAGGAGAATATTTAGTCCTCTAAACAAAAGCTCCAATGAGGTTATATGATGAGTACAATTCAACAGGGGTGGTTTTATACTTTATTACAGAAGAGCGCTGGGTTCTACCAATCTATACTCAAATCTTGGTCATGCTGATAATTCTGCATGCTGACTCATTTGTGCGACCTCCAGGCTACCAGAATTTTGGGTGCTTATGTAGCCTCAGCCTCAATTTAAAAGCTGCTATAATAATTAAAAAAAATAATAAAATTATTGCTTTGATGGACAAGATAATCAACAGGAAGGTCCATTTACGGCTCTGCCAGAAAAATACACATTTGGGCAGGTTCAGCAAAGTAAGCCACTATCTCAGCAAGATAATTTGTATAATTTTTCCACTGCAATGGTTATCAGTCAGTTGAAGTATCAACCCATAACCTACTCATCACATGCTGGGCTGAGTTGTCTGATAATATCTTCACATTCGAATCAGAAAAACATTTTTCAACTAGAAAGAAAACTATTTTAAAACTGTTTCCTTTAATAGTCCCTGCACACAAGCACCCAGCCTTGCAGCAAGAGCACCCACAGTGTGCTTGGCGGCCAGAGGAGCTGAACAAATGATCAGGGCAATGTGATACTCTGTCCTCAGCAGATACTAGGGCCAGTGATACCAGCTAAATTAGGAACGCTAGAACACGCCTCTGCTTTCTGTGTTATTTCCACACTGCTTAAACCCTCTCTTTACACACCAGCCAGCTGAAACAATGCATTGTAAACGTCATGAACACGCAGTTCAAAATTCAGATTAAAAAGTAAATGCACTGAAGTATCCTGCCATGGTAGTAACAGGAAAAAAACCATAACCTAGAAGCATTATAAAGAAGTCATCTGAAACCAGATGCTTTGACAACTTGGTCCCATTTATTCTTTAACACAAGTTACTGTCTTGGGGGGCAGGAGGGAAACACGCACAAACTTACTGTTACCACATCAGAAACTGGAAAGTGAAACCCCTTAGTGGCTCAGCTTTGGCTTCTTTCTTACTCTCTCCTTTTTATACTTTAAACAAGTAATCAGACTCAAAGCTTCACTGCGTTGTCCCTGGAAAAGTAACCGGCCAGCCTGTGTGGTTCGGCTCGGCAGTGCTGCCTGAACAGACGCTGCTGCGGGCAGAGGAGGTGGAGGAGGCAGAGTGTGCCTTCCTTCATCCCACTCGCTCAGAAGGGCTGAATCCTTTCTTTTACCCACCTACTGCTCTCATCTTCCAGAAACACCAGATAGCATCTTCCCCACGACCCACAAAACGCTGGCGTAAGAACAGACAGTCTGGCTGAAGGAAGGAAACGTCACTGTAGAAATAACTATTTTAAAAAGGAGTATTTAAAACTTATATTCTCCCATGCCAACGTGCCAGGCATGAAAATACCACCCTCTCTGCACTCCCCACCTCCCAGCACTTATCTTCCATCCTGACTCCACGCTACACCACGATATAACACCCAAGACACAGGCAGCCCTGCGAAGCGTGCCCAGTTTGCAGCATGAGAAGGGAAAACAGCCCCACGCAGTTAAGCTGAAAGTGCAACTGGTCCGTATGTAAATTGTTTAAGACATCCAGAAGCATTAGCTTTAGCCAGCACAGATCCAAACCTCTAGACAAACTTGTTTGTATCAATGGTTTCGGGCTCTTCTGGAATCCCCTGTTCCTTCTCTCTCTATGCAGGTGTCTAAACAGAGATGGATGGTATCACTGCTGGAAGAAATCCACCCCACCCAGGAGCTGAAGAGCAGGGGTTGGCATTCGAGCCTGATGTGCTGTGCTCCGCTCTGCTAGGAATGGGGCAATCCTCCTGTTTACTCCTTTCCCAAACACACATCTGTGAGCTTCTGAAGCAGGGACGAGCATCTCTGACATTCAAGCATTTGCTGGGAACATTTTCAGCAGCTTTGGAAAGCCATCACTGTGAATGGGGCTAGGTGAGAGCAGAGTCACCCTCCCAGAGCGAACCTGTCATAGAAATCAAGTCAGATGGGAGTTGGAGAGAGGGGACGGCAATAGGAGAATTAAAGTGGAGCTGAAAGACAACAGTCTGGCTCTGACCTTCAGGGCTACTCTCCAGTTACCTCAGCATTGACTTCTCACCCACCAGCTGTAAACCGAGGCACACACCAGCCTGCAGCATCCAACCGCAGGAGTAGGAGAATCAAACTGGGCAGAGTTAACAGCCTGCACAGCAACACCTTGCTCTTCCCACTCAATTAAAACCAAAACTGCCAATTGATCCGCACATCAATTTGGCTACGTAAAAATAAACAGTGAGACAACCCAGCAGCAGCCTGTACATCACACACCATCATCAGAACAGGCAATTCTCTGGGAGCCCACCTGAAAGATTAAGAAAAAACAGACACAACCACCACTTTCAGAAGGACCAGGGCAGCCTACGAGCACTTGCTCAGGGCACAGGCACTTGTGGGTTACCACTGCAGCCGCTCAGTCCTCCGGCACCTACCCCGTCCTCCTCTCCGAAGCAGCACTAACGGGCAGCAATGGAGGTGCTGAGCCCTCCTCTCCTTGCCTGTAGGCCTACCAGTGAACAGAGCTGCCTGGGCACATGCCGTAACTTTCCTATCTCAGTATTAGGAAAGCAGAAAAGTGATTTGCAGTTATTTGCAGTTGAGGTTTCTTTCAAGGCACTCCTGGGATCATGCCCTTACACCCCTAGCACTCAACTGGCAAGAACAGGCAGTTCCCTTCACAGCAGCTCTGTGACAGCAAGGGCAGCACGTTTCAATGCAGCTGTGCAGAAAAGCGCAGGCACACACAGGGAAAAAGCAGGTTTTAATAACAGCAGCTGATCCCTGGACAACGCAATGATCATTTCCTAAGGAACACCAGGATGAGTGGCTCAGCTGTGCCTGTGTAAGTAAGACAAAAGGGAAAACTGCAGTTTAATTCGATTGCTGTTTTCCCTCTCCGGGCTTTGCTAAACTTCACTTGAACTACAGAAGAGGCTCCTGCTGAAAATTACTATCTTCATATCACGGTGCTAGAGCAGGAGCTGCACCTGCTCCCCAGCTGCCCTGCTCATAACCTGCCATATCAACACAAGTCCGTTTTTATGGAGGTCTTGCAACCGCATTGAGCAATCCATCAGTGTGACACAACGTTCCCCCTCCAGCTAAGAGGCAAGGCAGGTGGCTGAGAAAAGCAACCTTTGAAATAGCTGCTGTGAGATGCTTCTGCCAGAGCCCTGCCAGAAAGTTATCGCATGGCAACAGCAACCGTAAGCATCGACAAAGCTGAAAGGCTTGGCAGTAGGAAAGGAGCAACAAAAAGGAGGGAAAATTAAGAGGAAAGCCAGCTGAGATGGCACAGGGCACACTGGAGCATTGTCAGGGCTTTGGCAGTCTTCAGCCCTGGCTGGCATGGGGCTTCTTTGGTATCTTAGCCTGGCTCAAGAAAAAGGGTAGGCCCACAGAATTGTAGAGAAAACACTGAGAATAGGTCTTGAGTGTAAAGGAGACACCTGCCTAGGTTTTGAGGGAGCCTGAATCCCTTGTGCCAAGAAGCATGAGTTGATTCAAGCACCTCTGCCAGGTCCCCAGGGGCTCCAGAGCCTCCGAGACGGGAATGTGCAACACAACACAGGTACTTTGGGATGTCCTGCTCCTCTAAAGTCAACATGACCTTCCCTGCTTCATCTCCTCCTCATCAAGGGAGTCCTAAGGCTGGTTTTAAGCCAGGTCTGCTCAAACCTTTCCCCACACAGGTGGGCTGGGCTACCACACAGGTAGTTCTTGTACATGGTGACCACGCACATGGCCTTATGCTACTGCACGGAGCCTAGCAACACAAAGCTGAAAAGCAGGAACCCAGTCTGTAATTCACAGCGCCAACCAGGAACAGGAGCTTTCTGAGACTGTCACATCAGCTTGTGCCAGACAGAAACTGCTCCTTTTGCTGGGACATGCTGGCGAGAGAGATCCAAGCAAGTTCCCTTGGCATCACAAATAATTAAACCTCAAAGAAAGCGTCAAAAACAAAGATTAAGGTCCCACCAGTAACTGCTTGTTGCTTTAGCTGGGCACACATATGGCAGCGATGGCACAGGAAACCAGCATCACCTCTACTCTGCTGTCCAACTCCACGGCACCCATCTGAGTTGAGAATAAAAATTGGCAGATTTGTCGGGGTTGCCAGGGGCCTCACTCCCACCTCTTTTCAGAACCAGTACAGAAACTTCTGCTTTCAGCATTCAATGGATTTGTTCATCAGATTTTAGGGCTGATTAGACAGACATTTAATTTGGGGTTTATTGGTAGAGGGATATCAAGGCAGCATTTCATGCATTGAAGACAGATGTGAAAGCAAGAGCAGGTTTTGAAGAAGGCTGAAGGTACAAGAAGCATTTGAAAGCAGCAGCAGGTTTTCTACCATTTCCTAAAACAGACTCTGCCTTTCCCTGGTTGCTTTGAACTACACAAGTATGAGGTAGTGGCACACTCCAGGATGCTTCTTCCAAATGCCTCCATCATCTCAGAGGAATGATTTTCCTAGAGAGACTCCAGTCTGGAACAGAGCGGGGCTGGACCTCTAAGAGCATTTTAGATAAGCCTGAGTTTGAACATGACCTGGCCCCACAGCCAGCTGGAGCCCGCACACCACTGTCCCCTCACCTCGGATGCGGCCAGCTCCTTTGCAAAACCAAAAAGACTAAATTCGCTTGCCAAGGAAATTAAGTGTCTGTAAACAGCTGGCTGACACATAAGGGAGGCTGAAAGCAATTGGGAATGTCTGATCAGAGGTACCTCCACAGGTCTTCTAGGCTACAATTAACAGTTACAGTCACAGTTGTGTGAAAAATGCCCAAGATGTGCTGTTCGCATCTAATGAGGTCACTGCTCAAGAACAACCTGCCACTGGGGAGCGGACCTCAACCATATCATCACACTAACGATGCCAGGCGCCAGCACGTTTGTAGCAATGATTTGAATTC